CCTTCTGCGGGGGTACTGCACGCCCTACATGCCGTGTTTCATTCCACCCCATGCCTCTTGGGAGAGGCATCGTCCAGCCACGCCCCGCATTTGCATTTGATTTCTCTTTTGCTTAAACTGTACCTTGTAAATCACCTTATCCCCTAGGAAGCAAGACACTTTGGTCCTGAGCAAAGCAGCCCCCAGGGTGGGGGGGCGGGGCGAGAACTCAGACACAAACTCACCTGTGATGGTAACTGCGATTGTCAGCTTGACCACAGGAAAGAACGCCCGGGGGTTCCTGATGCCCACCTCTGAGTGAGGCGGTGTGTGCCATTTCCAGAGACAATTAGACCTTGGGGGCTCTGACCCTCACTAGGGGGTTATCCCAGGCAGGGCTTGTAATGCAATGGAAATGCTGGGAGGTGGCATAGGGTAGGAGGTGGGCGCTGGGTTTGAAGATGTGGGAGCAGTGTGGGTGTGGTCTTACGCCCCCCTAATCCTTTTCTGCGTCCTTTCCTCTGTTTCCTCTCCGCTGTCAGATGAGCCATCCTGTCAATTGTCGCCGCCACCATGACACACTGCTTAAGAAAATGGGACCCAGTTACTATGGACTTAAACCTCGGGAACTCTCTGTCTCCACGCCCCATCACAGTGAAAATAAAAGCAGCTAACACAGACTCTAACCTCATTCATCACAATGGTAAACACTTAAGTCCCCCTGGGGCCAGCGACAAGGCTCAGTGGGGGAAAATTCTTACAGCACAAGCCTGAGGACCTGAGTTTGAGCCCCAGAATCCTTGCAAAAAAAAAAAGTACACAGGGATACTCTAATCCCAGCGTGTCTAGGGCAAAATGGGAAGTGGAGACAGGAGAATTGCCTGGAAGCTCAGGGGCCAGCGCCAGCCTGGAGTATACAGTAGCAGAATAAGAGAGACCCTAAAGAGAAAGGAAGAGGCCTTGTTAGCCTTGACATTGGATGGGGCAGCATTGAAGGCTGGACACCCTCACTCCAAGGAGGGCCTGGCAGGGATGGATGTTTCTGTTTCTCCCTGAGACGGTCAGGAGTGAGGCAGAGAGGATGTATCTCTGTAGAGCCAAAACCTCTGTCTTCATCAGCATCCACTCCACTGAGAAAGAACTGCACAGAGCTAATCAGCCCCCCCCAACCAGGCTGCTGAGACAAGGCAATGAAAGCCCCTCCCCATACCTACAGGAAACTGATGAAATGACAGCTACCCAGGGCTTGGGGGGAGAGAGCAACACGCGCCTTTGACTTGCCGTGAAAGAGAAAGGGCTTCCTTGTCTTAGAGAGGTCATGAAAACAAAGGCACCCGCACGCAAAGGAACACGTGTCTGAGGGGTTATGGACTTTAACACATATGCCTCGCATGTGTGCGCGTGCGTGCATGTGTGCGTGCGTGCGTGCGTGCGTGCGTGTGTGTGTGTGTGTGTGTGTGTGTGTGTGTGTGTGTGTGTTTCAGGGCTCCAGAAGCTCAACTGTCTATTGATTTTCTGACAAGCTGTGTGGTCCCTCTCAGCTACTTTCAAAGACAGAAAGATGACCCTGAGCAGCGGAATACTCTGTCAAGAAAGTTCTGGAAGTTGCACACAAGGAAGCACTGAGCACTTGATTAGACTCAACATTGATGATTGATCCCAACAGTGTCTGCTCACGACGTGGTCAACCCTCCAGGCACCGTGGTCCCCTGGACTGAGACCAGATGCTGTCCGGCTTATGGGTTTTAAGCCTATGATGTGTGCTGGTTGGAAAATTGCAGCCCGGAGAACTAGGGATTTTCAAATTATTTTATCATCTAATCTCTTAAAATGGGTAGGGGAGAGGGCGCAAATGCAATCAGTTTTTGAAGACTGTTTTCTTTGTGGTTTGTATTTGTTACTTTGTATCACTAGGACCAAAATATGGGGGGGGGGGCGGACAAAAACACAGTGTGTGGGGGCAGGGAGTGTGCTTGGGCTCATGATTTCAAAGGGATTTCAGTCCCTGGAGTGAGCAGCTCTGCTCCCATAGTAGAGATCACTCACATCACAACAGACCAGAAAGAGGTGCAGGAACAGGGCCAGACTACAGCCTTCAAAGCTCCCTTCCTTCCAACCTCCACCAATTAGGCCCTGCCTCTAAAAGTTCCACAGCCTCCCCACGTTCAAACATGAGCCTTGGGCTGGGGATGTGGCTCGGTGGTTGAGAGCACTGTTCGCTCTCGCAGGGGATCTGAGTTCGATTCCCAGCACCCACATCAAGTGGCTCACTGCCACCTGTCACTCCAGCTCCAGGGAGATCCAACGCCTCTGGCCTCTTCAGGAGTGTGCACGTACCCACAGGAGGACACACGCGTATATACATAGCTCAAATAACTTTTAAACATTAATTCTGGTGAATAGGAGAGATGGCCCCTTGGTGAAGAGCACCGGTTCCTCTTGCAAAGGACCCGGGCTCAGTTCCCAGCACCTACACGGTGACTCACAACCATTCATAGCTCCCGTTTCAGAGGACACAGCGCCCTCTTCTGGCTTCCAAGGCACCCTGCATGCATATGGTACTCACATTCAGGCAAAACACCCATACACATACGTAAATAATAAATGAATAAGCATGAGCAGACTCGGCTGGGTTAGGTGCTTTAAGGGCCCCTGAACAACCCCTCTCCCTATTCATCTGTTTACACACCTACCCCTGTGTCTTTCTGCCATCACACCTTGGAATACGCTCCGAGAACAAGAAACTGCCACCTAAGGGAAGCTGCTCTCAATTTCGCTTCCGGCCTGCGTCACTGGGCCTCTCTCTCAGGACCTTCAGCCCGAGAAGCTGCGGCCACAACGCAGGTCAACTCTGAAGTCCATACGCACACGCTGTTGCTAGTGCAACCCAAAGGACGTTTTGTCTTGTGAGATCACTGTACTCAAACACTTCCCACACCACAGTCAACCGAGACCCTCAAACTGGCACCGTCACCCAAACTGAATCAACACTTCTCTGCAAGAGGGGAATAAGCATCTCATCTAATAACCGGATTTGCCGCGCTACTGAGACCAAAAGGCGGTTCTCTACTATTTACGCCTAACCCTGCATTGTTTCCATCTCTGTATCCATTGCACTCAGATAAAAATGTGAGCCTCTAATTGGATTCTGATTTGGATTGCCTGTGACATATCCGTCTGTAGCCATTTCCTGGGAGGAGAAGTCCACCAGTCAAAGGGGTGGTTATAGAAATCACTCAGCACCTACTTTCAACATAGCAGATTCTGGGCTTGAGCCACAGTGCAGGTGGGGTCCCTGCGCCTTGGCTGTATGGTGATTCATCTTCACCGTCAACTCGACTAGATTTGGGGTGACCTACGGGGCTGGTCAGGCACACGTGGTGGGGGTGGATATTTCTAGAGGAGTTTGACCTTCTGGGGTCCTAGTGATCCTGCATGTAGTTGACACATGCAGTGAACATAAAAATTCAGGAAATCTCTCTCTTTCTCTCTCTCTCTCACACATGCACACACACACACACACGATTACATGCTTACTACACTTCCAACACAATGTACAGTGTGTTAAACTCTCTCTCTCTCACACACACACACACACGATTACATGCTTACTACACTTCCAACACAATGTACAGTGTGTTAAACTCTCTCTCTCTCTCACACACACACACACACACACACACACGATTACATGCTTACTACACTTCCAACACAATGTACAGTGTGTTAAACTCTCTCTCACACACACACACACACACGATTACATGCTTACTACACTTCCAACACAATGTACAGTGTGTTAAACTCTCTCTCTCTCACACACACACACACACGATTACATGCTTACTACACTTCCAACACAATGTACAGTGTGTTAAACTCTCTCTCTCTCACACACACACACACACACACACACACACACGATTACATGCTTACTATACTTCCAACACAATGTACAGTGTGTTAAACTCTCTCTCTCTCTCTCTCTCACACACACACACATGATTGCATGCTTACCACACTTCCAACACACTGTACAGACAAAGTGAGGAGAAAAAGTCTCTAAGTCCACAGAACTTCAACAATTTGACTTCGAGTTCAAATCCTATCAAATGTCTGTGTACCACAGAAGAGCACCTCACGATGGAATTTTCTAAAAGCATCGTATCGAGTATGGCATCACGGTATATGCCTGTGATGCCAGCCCTGGGGAGGTCAAAGTCAGCCTGCACTACAGAGAAATTAAAAAAAAAAAACTATAGTAGCAGTGCATTCTGAATTTACCTTTCCAACATCCTATAAATGACATGTCAGCAGCCTATCTCCCAAAGAGTAAAAAAATGGGAAAATATGGGTGTATCTCCTAAAAAGTAAAAAAATGGGAAAATATGGGTGTAAGCGTTTTAGTGTCTTGTATCGTAAGCAACTATACAGTAGCACAGTGATAATCTGACAGCAACTGAGAAGATTGAAAAATGAAGGGTAATCAGGCATCGCGTCTGATATAAGCAGAGGGGGAGCCACCCGACACCCCCTTTCATGTCGCTGTTTTCCTGCGTGGACACCCTCTCCCCGTAACGAATATGCTATTAAGGAGGTTTACATGTGTATGTTTCTGCTATAGTCATTACTCAGTAAATTTCTCTGACTCCTTTCATAAATAAATTTCATTATTCCTCATTTAAAAAAAGAAAAGTCACCTTCTCCTTTCCTGAAGGAATGCCGTATATGAGACAACCCTCACTATATCAAACCGTGAATGACTAAGGGCCGGACGATAAGAAGCCATGTAAGCAGACAGCATGGACACGAAATGCAGTTGGGCAGACGTAAGGCATTGTGGGTACGCTAGCGTCTTCAAAAGGGATATTTTACAACGCGTAAAGAAGGTCTACTTTTACTACAGCATGAGACAAGTCCCAGCTCGCACACAATTTGCCACTGATTTCTTCATTTTGTTGCTTTTAAACGTGCTTTTAAGGACACGCCGGACAACTGGTAGGAACCGTACACAATGAAAATGGTGTTTTAGATAAGTTTTATTGACTCAATGCTCTGATAATAAAATTATAACAATCAGCGTTATTCTGATTTATTGAGATTTTTACTTTCACTTTGTTATGGACCGGGAGCATGGCAGAGTCGAATGGGACGCTGCTGCCATCTCAAGGTCACTCACTGGAAATGAGATGGCTCGTCTCAGCCTACACGCACTCCGGGCACATAAGTAACACAGGGCTTTATGGGTGGAAAGACCATGCGGCACAGTAAATCTGAACTTTTATTTGCAGAGCAAAACCATGGGTTTTATATGCAGTTTCCAGTGGAAACATATCCCAGGAATGCCGGTGTGCTGGGCATGACTTAATCCAGATGCAGAGGCTTCTTTAAGATGTTTCTCATTAATAAGGCCTCCTTGGTTCTTTTCCTTATCTCCAGTCTTATCTCCGTTGGCGACCTCCACGAATTTGGCACTCCCCAGCTGGATTTTCCTCAAGCACGCCTGGTACCAGCAAAGGAAACGGCAAGGCACTGACTCATCCTCATGGAAACCCCACGTTATCTTACTCTATTTTTAAAATTTGGGATTTACTTGTTTCTGTTTGGGCATGCGTCGCAAGTGCAGATGCTCCCAGAGGCCAAGAGAGGGTGTGAGATCCCCGCCCCCCAGAGCTGCAGTCACAGATGGTTGTGAGCCACCTGGCAAGGATGCTGGGGACCAAACTCAAGTCCTCTGCAAGAGCAATATAAACTCCAACCCACTGAGCCACCTCTCCAGCCCCAAGACTAAAGTTTTCTTAACAGACTATCAGAAACCAACTCTAGATAACACTGGCATTGCCAAGGTGAAACCGTAAACCAGAAATGAAGGAAATGCATCCATGCTATTTTTCCAAGTTTTAAAAATGCATACACCTTCTAACCAAGAAATCCCCCTGTTCTTGCAAAAAAAAAATTTTCCTTCCAGCACCTTGTACATGTGTCCCAACACTACCGGCTAACTCACTATAGCAAGGGACTTACAACCAAGTAAGTGTCCTTCAACACAAGACTTGTAAATGGGATTCTGCACCATCTTCACAGTCAGCGAGGCAGCTCTGTGCGTACCAATATGGCACCATTTCCCAAATCATATGGCTGAGTAAGGCAGGGGCGGGGGAGCGATATGTAAAACAGTGGGTGTGTGTAGTATGTACGTATTTACAGGGTCTCTGGAAAAAAAGATAATACAACAAGCCATTAGCAGTAGTTCCTTTGTAGGGGATGCTGGCAGCCTGTATAAGGAAGACGTCATTGTCACTGGGTGTCCATGTCTGTCTTGGGTAGGCGCTTATTAACGACTCAGAATGTGTAAATGAATAACAAAACCTTTGAAAACCGCATTGGGTTGCAATTCACACACGAAAGTCGGTAACTGTGGAGAAAAGACAGGGGAGGCTTGGAAGTGGAGAAGGAAGAGGTGAGAGCCATGGTCGGGGACGGAGGGAAAGGAGAGACTGCGGGCCAGGAGTAGGGGGTGGTGTCTTGTGAGAGCACTGTGTTCCAGTCCAGCCTGAGCCCGCATTCCTTCCCAGTCTCCCCCGCTTCCTCCCGTCCCCTCTTATTCGCCAATCCTCGTCCCTCCTAGTCACCCACCCCGCATTTCGACTTCTCTGATTCCGTGTGTTTCCGCCTGCCTCTTGAGGAGCCAGCCCTCCTGCTCCTGGTGCCAGTACGTGGCCGGGCTTGCCAGGTACGTACGCTTCGTGCACCCTGGACGTACAAAGAGTGTGAAGAAGCAGCACGGAGATTAACAGACCCATCTGCCACCCGCCCTCTACTGGAACCCAAAGTAGTCTGCTGAGTTGTCGGGGCGCCTGGCTTCTTTAAGATGCCTCAGCCATGAACTTATCCTCCCATCCGTCGAGCGAGCGTGCGCTCACGCGCAGAGCGCAGGGCCAGCATGCAGCAGGACGCCGCACTGGGGAGGTTGAGAAATCTAGAGAGATGAAATGCCACAAACTTGGGAGTCGAGTGGTGTTGTGCGCGGCGGATTCTGAAATGTCTCCCGCATATTTTTTTTTAAAGTTTCAAGTCCCTAGCTGGCAGTGCTATTTTCGGGAGGTTCTGGAAACTTTAGAAGGTAGAGCCTGGCTAGAGGGGGCGGGGGGCTTGGAAGGTATCTTTATTCCCCTGGCTCTCCCCCTTCCTCTCTCTGCCCCTTCCTCCCTTTTCCCCTCCCTCTCCTCTTCCTCTCAGCCCTGATTCGAACAGCTATCCTCTGCCACAAGCTCCCCCCAGCCGTAACATTATGCTCAGGTGCGAGGAACCACGCAGCCATGAGCACAAAAACGCGCTGAAACCGTGAGTCAAAATAAGTCTTTCTTTCCTGGTTTCCATCGTGAATTTTGGTTCCAGTGACACAAAGGGAACTAACACATGCATTCTCACAAACCGGACCCAGGGTCACAGCCAGTGAATTAGACGTCTGTGTTGGCGACCTCTGCAGAGGAGCCAAGCCCTACCAGCGAGGAAGGGAGGAGGGACGAGGGAGGGGAGGCTCCTGGCTTCACGCCTTCATTGGGTTCCCTTCCCCTTCCCCTTTTATTAAAACATCTCTTGATCCTTCTATAGGTTTCAACGACATATCGCTGACGGTGGAAGCCAAGATTCTATTTGGGATTCTGTACCACCTGGAAGTCCACCCAGTGCCCATCCGAACACTTTGGTTAAGTCGCGGGGGTATAGCATTTCACAAGCACGTACACTTCTGCTACCCCAACTCACCCACAGCAGGGATTGATTCTCTCTCTCGCCACCAACTAAAATGCTACAGCTAGAAGTTTCCTGCGCCAATCCAGGGTGTTCTTACAAGAGCCATCCACTTGAAAAAAAAAAACAGCCATGGCGTTTTTCACTGCGTTCGGAGGTTATTTGAAAAACTGGAAGCAGAGGCTGGAGAGGTGGCTCAGTGGTTAGGAGCATGGTTTTTGCTCTTGCAAAGGGCCCAGGTTTGGTTCCCATCACCTAGACCAGGTGACTCACAACCACCCGTCAACTCCTGTCCTGGGGGGAGCAGGAACTGATGCCCCCTTCCGGACTATAATGGCACTCACTGATATGTACAAACACACACACACACACACACACACACACACACACACACACACACACACGCACGCACGCACGCACGCACGCACATGCGTGCACACACATGCACATTAAAGTAAAAATGAAACTAAAGCTTTAAAAATTAAAAGCAAACTAGTGGTGGGAGATTTGGCCCAGCCGTTAAGAGCACTAGCGACCTGAGTTTGGTTCCCAGCACCCACACTAGGCAGTTAACTGTCACCTGTAAGTTTAGCTCAGAGGATCTGACGCCCGCTTCTGGCCTCTGTGGGCACCTGCATGTATATGATACATGTATTAGACTCAGACAAACATGCATACACATACAATAGGTAACAAATTTTTTTTTTGGTTTTTCCAAACAGGGTTTCTCTGTGTAGCTCTCTGTAAACTAGGCTGGTCTTGAACTCACAGAGATCCGCCTGCCTCTGCCTCCCAAGTGCTGGGATTAAAGGCGTGCGCCACCACCGCCCAGCTAAGGGCCTCAGGTTTCTAGAATGGCCCTTTCAGAACCACGTCTGGGCCACCTGCTCAGGTGGGAGTATTTTCAGACGTATCCACGCGTATGTTGGGGGGGATGACAGATAATTGCGAGGGAAAGAGAAGGGTGAACGTGGAGGCAGAGATGCTTTTGGCAGAGTCTCTTAGCGCGTGTGAAAGTCTTGACAAGATAGAAGGGACGGAGGGAAGTCGAGAGGGAAGAAGGAGGGAGAAAGAGAAGGAAGGAAGACAGGAAATGAAATGGGAGGAAGGGGGTGCATTTCCCATCTTTGGGTGGGCTGGGGCTTGATTTAAACTTTGGAAAATTTCCCTCCGTCGCTCTGTTTACCTCACAGTTTGTGTCCTGGGGTGGGTGAGAGCTGTCCATCCGTCTGTCCGTCCGTCCGTCCGTCAGGTGGGTGGTGAGTCCAGCCCTCCACCTACCTGGACATTCAGTAGACCCCGTCTTGGGCTCAGTTTCTGCACTTCCTTCCCTTCTGGAAGTTTCCTTTCTGTTGCTGGGACAAAGCACCCTGAGCAAGAGCCGCGTAGGTGAGGGACAGGGTTTATTTCAGTTTGCAGGTTCTAGTCCATCCCTGGGTGAATTCAGAGCGGGAGAGGCAAACAGGGACTTGAAGGCCGACGGTCTGGCGCACGCTCGTGGAGAGTTTCCTCCTGCCAGGCAGCTCGCCTCACAAAGAAACACACCAGGGACCACAGAGCAGGCTGTTGGCTGACTTGCCCACGGTCTTGCTTAACTACCTTTCTTATAAGGCCCAGAACCACCTGTTTTAATTTAAAAAAACCAAGACACGCCCCCAACAGACATGCCCACAGGCCGAACTAATCTGGGTGATGCTTCAATTGTGACCCTTCTCAGGTGCCCCAGGCGGTATCAAGTTGACAGTCAAAGCTAACCAGGACTCAGGGTGTGTGTGTGTGTGTGTGTGTGTGTGTGTGTGTGTGTGTGTGTGTGTGTGTGTGTGTGGTTAGCTTGTTCATCTTCTCTGGAGGGTGTAAGAAGAGTAACAGATTCCCACATGGGATAAAAACCTGTCACGGCACCTCTGTAAGGCAAAGAAAATGCCTTACTAGTTCATTTCTAACTTTAAAAGTTGCCAGGGGGAGCCGAGCGTTGGTGGCGCACGCCTCTAATCCCAGCCCTTGGAAGGCAGAGGCAGGTGGATCTCTGTGAGTTCGAGGCCAGCCTGGTCTACACGAGCGAGTTCCAGGACAGCCTCCAAAGCCACAGAGACAGCCTGTCTCGACAAACCACAAAAAAAAAAAAAAAAGAAGCCTGAGGCCTGCTGAAGATATAAGGTGTGTCAAGAGACGTGGAGAAGGGACGGAGTCGGTCTCTCTAAAACCATGGCTGGAGTCTCAGAGAACGGCCCCCTGAGCACATGGTGAAATGGTGAACCTAGAGTGATCACCCACGGGAGAGCAGGAACGGGGAGCCGGAGAGGAGGAGGGGGAGGGTGTAAAAGGACGCCTGGAGTCAGTGCCTGTGGGTGGGGGAAGGAACTCTCCAGAAGGGAAAAGCTGAGGACACCATATGACGAGAGGCTGGCTTGGTGGCCGACCGACCAACTCTCTGGCCTGGCATCTGCCATGATTGTCGTTGACCGTCGCCAACCTGATGCGACCTCTCCTTGCCCGCTGCATTCCGGCGCAGTGGCAAAGTGGATCAGACAGTCCTTCTACAACGTCGGTGGTGTGCCAGGGTTTCAAAGATTTTTTTTTTTTACTCCGCAATTACGAGATTTACAGGAAATCTCCAGGCGGCTAAGCGGAGGAGCTCAGGCTGTCTTTCATCTGGCTGGAAGCCAGCCACTTGGAGGGTGGCTTTAATTCCTGGGATATGGAGTCACACAGTCAGGAAGCAGCCCTGACCCCAATAAGGTCAGTGCCGTGGCCAACTACCCTGGGCTCAATTTAGAGACATAACTATGGCAACGACTGTGCCCGATCGGTTATTAGAGGAGATTTATTGACGGATATGCTTGAATAGCAGGGCCATTAATTGCAATTACCAGACAAGACACTTTGCTCATCTTGGGGGACTGAATACCAAAAAATGCCCTAACAACTTTAAAATCCCATTTGCTCCTGGACTCTCCTCTGGTCTCACGGTTTGCTCCAGATTTCCGGTCCTGGGGGCTGAGGGGCAGACGGAGGGAGAGGAGAAAAAGGGGCATCGCTTGAGAAGGTACCACCTGAAGAGAACAGCAAGAGCTCAGTGCGGGAGCAGGAGCTTAAGACTTGCAGTATGACTTAACACTCTTACATGACTCCTCACAAAGCAATCCCATCCACTCCACACCCTCTGGGTCCCACCAGCAGTCATAAAAAAAAATCCTTCCAACGTTGCTTTCTAGTCCAGAAAATGACCGTTTTCCCCAACATACTAAGTTCAGGTTCTACCTGCTGTTCTTCCCAAGCATCCCGAGCCTGGGAAACTCATCACAGGGTTTCACACTTTTGGTCTAACCTCAAGGTAGTCTCCCGTGAACGCTCCCTCTTGCAGCTTTGCACGGTCTTTCCTCGTAGCCCTGGCCGTCCAGGAACTCTCTCTGTAGACCAGGCTGGCCTCGAACTCACAGAGACCCGCCTGGCAAGGGGCGGAGGGGAGGGCAGGCGAAGAGAGGGGGTGGGGCAGCTCTCCCGCCCTCACACCCACCCGCCTGGCTGGTCTGCACCCCCGCCGGCAGGGTCAGCTTTGCTGTGCTGCCCAGGCGAGGAGATGCTGTGCTCTCCCGGACCACAGCTCTTATGAAGGAAAACATTTAATCGGGACTGGCTTCACAGTTTTCTGGTCCATCATCCTCATGGCGTGGCGTGCAGGGAGACGCGGTGAGAAGTCTACATCTGAAGGCAGTGCAAGCGACCGTGTGCCACACTGGGCAAGTAGGAGAACTCGGAGCCCACCCCCAGACAGTGACAGGCTTCCTCCAACAAGGCCACACCTACTCCGACAAGGCCACACCTCCCTAAGGGTGCCACTCCCTGGGGGGAGGCGTTTTCTCTTTCAAAACACCGCAGGCAGACATCGTTGATGGAGCCGAGGCAGGGGCAGCACCGGAGACATCAGGCTGGGCCTAAAAGGATTCCATCTGGAGATCCTTGGGCCCTTTCAGAAAGGGAGAGACTGGAGGGCTATCGCTGTAATTTGCATACGCTGCCCCCCCCAGAAGCCCCCGCATACGGGGGAGGCGGTGGAGACTTCAGGAGCTAGAGCAGGATACTAATGGGAAGAAATGGGGTGATGACAACAGTCCTCAAAACAGGCACTAGGTTCCCAACCCAAGACCCCCCCTTCTTATTTCTCTGCACTTCTCAGTTACCACAAGGCAAGCCGACCTGGCCCCTGGCCCGTCACATGTTCTTATCACAATGTCCTCCTGTTTTGGCTTCAGGCCCAAAGCAACAGGGGTCAGGAAGCCACGAGCCAAGGAAGCAAAGCTTGAGTTAATCTCAGGTATTTGTGGCAGCAACAGGAAGCTCAACACGGGCTAGCACACATGACAACCTACAGGTTAAATCGACAGCTCTCTGGGTGTCAGACCTCTGTGTTCTACTTGCCATAGCAGGAAACTGGGGGAAAAAATAGACAAAGGAGATCACAAAGAGAAGCCTTGTAACAGCAAGGTCAAAACGAAAAGGATCCCGCAGTCCTCTTAAAACAATCAGAGAAGGGGACAGAGATGGCTCGTAAGTGACCACAGCTTATTTCCCAGCACCCAACATCAGGCCGCTCAGTTAACCTGCAACTCCAGCTCCAGGTGGCTATCTGTCGCCCTCTTCTGGCCCCCACGGCACCTGCGCTCACATGTGCGTGCACACACACACACACACACACACACACACACACACACACACACACACACAGACCTATGCATATGCACATAATAAAAATAAAATCAGTGGAAACCAGAGAGAATGGCATTCAGGGAACACATCCTGAGAGAGGCATGTTAGGCCAGGCTTAACTACCCACCTCTACCCGCAGGGCTTTCGAAAACCAGTGGGAAATGAAGCACACGGCAGGTCAGCACCAGGGGGTCGATTCCGTCACCCAAGGAGCTGGACCCTACTTCACATTGCCGCCTTCCACTAACACACGGAAAGACAGTGTTCCTGGTGCTGGTGCCAGCATTACTAGGTGCCCACATGGCGGGGTGCTTATTTTGCTCTGCACAAAGATCACAGAATTTCCCTGCTTGGAGGAGGGACCTTAGGCAGTCTGACTATTTGTGCGCTTTCCCCAGCGCACTCCCATACGCTTTCATTAATACTTAGTTTCTTATCAGCATGCAAGTTTGAAACACTTTCTAAAGGTTTTTTTTTTTGCAATTTTTCTTATTGTGTGCATGAGTGTCTTGCCTCCCAATGTACCACACAAGTACCACACGGTATACACAGAGGCCTGAAGAGGGGGTAGGATCCCCTAGAACCGGAGTTGCAGAGGACAGTTGTAAGACACCATGTGGATACTGGGAATGGGACCCAGCATCCTCTGGACCAGCAGCCAGTGCTCTTCACCACTGAGTCATCTTTCCCGCCTGTGTTTGGAACAATTTAAATAAACCCTACGTGTTTTTTTTCATGGACTGGACCTATGTGTGTGTGTCCTTCCAAGCCTCCCTTACTCACATCTAAACAGTAGAATGGACGGACGGACACATACACAGAGAGAGAGAGAGACAGAGAGAGAGAGAGACAGAGAGAGAGAGACAGAGAGAGAGAGAGACAGAGAGAGAGAGACAGAGACAGAGAGAGACAGAGACAGAGAGAGACAGAGAGACAGAGAGAGAAGAATCTAGAAGCCAAGGCCTGGCCCCGTTCCACACAGGGAAGATGGATCCTTCCATCTGGTAGAATGGGCTTGGATCAAACAGAATACGAAGTGTGCCATGTAGCTGACTTACGGGTCAAAGGGAGGCAAGAGCAGTAGGCAATGCTGTCACTGTGGAAAGGGAGCCCTGTTCTTAGGTGACAGCTGAGGCCACTTTCCTTCCACTGATCCCTGAGTGTCACCCTGGCTACCAACCAAGTTCACGCACTCTTCGCTGACGTTCTCTGCGTAGGGGATGTGTTAGTGCGCTCCCTCTTCCAAACAGACAGCAGACATCTTGGGCGAAGCCTGGAGGAAACCAACCCGTCGATGTCATTTGCCGCTGATGAGATATCAAACCGGAGCGGTGTGGATCCGGGTGAGCCACTTAAATCATGCAAATTCTATTCGCTTGCAACACGTCAGTGTCGGGTCCAAAGGCTTCAGGACTCCTTAAACAAACGTATCTAAACCGCAGGGTGTGAGGGTGCGCTCAGTTGCCAACTGCGTAGGAGAGACAGGCCGAGCCCCGGCGTGGCCATGTTGTGACTTCGCTCTGGAGCTCACACGGCAACTCTAAGTCAAGGGCGGGCAGTGGGTAGGGTGGCTGGGTGACCCCACCCTCTTCCTCTCTTCCCTGTGCCCACCGATGGTCTGTCGTTGGCGTGCACGACACACTAAAGCTTCCCGCCCAGGGTGAGCCAAAGGAGCAGAGGGGCTGACCAGCTCTGAATCTTTTACAAATATTCTATTTATTGATCGCTTTCCATCGATCAGTCACATTGGTGCCTCATATACATTATGTCCTTTAAGCTTTTTTAGGGTGACTGGGGTTTTGCCTGCATATGTGGATGTGCGCCCATGCGCTTAAAGCACCCAAGGAGGCCAGGCGAGGGTGTTGGATCCCATGGAACTGGAGTCAAGACAGTTGTGAGCTACCAAGTGGGTGCTAGGAATTGAACCCCACTCCTCTGGAAAAACAGCCGGTGCTCTTAATTGCTGAGCGGCCTCTCCAGTCCCCCTTTAGACTTTTTAACAACACGATCCCCACACTGTGATAAAACGAGGCACAGAGGGGTTAAGTAAAACACTAAGTCACACAGCTAGCAGGCACTAACTAGAAGATTCTGAAACTAAGGGCAAAACCCAGCCCACAGGTGGACTCTTAGAACTCTCAAGCCATCACTAAGACCGATGCCTGGGTCCTAACTGCATGACAGCTTAGTTCTCTCTCCTAAGCCAACCCTCTCCCGGAATACTTTCTTTGTGGCCCGTATTAGTTCACTGAGACGAAGTCTCACTGGGCAGCCTAGGCTGGCCTCAAACTCTGCAATCCTCCTGCCTCACTCCCCCAGCTGGTAGCATCACAGGCATGCCCCCACCCTACCCAGCTCCAAAAGGCTGCTGTTTAGTGCCTCCTCTAGCTGAATCCACACCTCGGAGCGTGCGTGCGTGTGTGCGCGTGCGCGCTAAGTGAAATCGCTGTTTTATTCCATCGCCTCAGCCAGGGGAAATATCAATGAACAGGACTGGCAGGCTCCCGGAGCCTAGTGGGAGCTCAGTCCCACCAGGGCTGACAGATGCCGAGGCAGCAACAGCACCTGTGACTGATGACAGAGCAGCTCACATACAGATGTGTGAAGAAGCATGGCAGAGCCCCAGGCGCGGAGCCCTCCACCTGCAGAGCCCCACCCTATTCCCATCCCCGCCCGGGATGTTTTCCACCTGGCTCAGCCGCAGCTCCAAGATGCTTTTCCAGCTGCCCCGTTGCGCCTACACCAAGCCCCCGCCCCCGCCCCCGCCGCCCCGTGCCAGTCAGAGGACTCTCCAGCATTCAATCGCACCCGAAGTCACGCTGGTCTGTTGTTGTCACCTACACCCAGTGTCCCGAAAGTTTTAGTTTTAGTTTTTATGTGTGGGGGTGCCTTGCATGTATTTCTGCTTACCGGTGTGCACGCCGTCCGTGCCCAAGGAGGCCAGAAGAAGGCGTGGGATCCGCCCCCCCCACGGGGTGCTGGAGTCACAGACGGTTGTGAGCCACCACGAGGGTGCTGAGAATCTAACCAGGATCCTCCTCCGGAAGAGCAGCCGGTGCTCCCAACAGCTGAGCTGCTCTCTCCAGCCCCTGAGATGACGGCCTACTTTTTTTGAGGCTTGCTACCGAGAGCCGACCACAAGGTCATTCCTGAAGGTGACTCTGAGCCAGGAGCCGAAGGAGAAAGGGGGCGAGATGATGTCCCGGGGGCCTGGTCACCTCCTCACAAAAACCCTGAAGCTACCTGCGCGTCTGGTTCTGAGCATGCATCTCTCCTCCTTCCCCAGTGCTCCCCAGACTTGCTTTTTCATGGTGTATGAAGACATGCACGCAGAGGCCCTAAAGGCTACTTGCCGTGTGTGTGTGTGTGTGTGTGTGTGTGTGTGTGTGTGTGTGTGTGTGTGTTGGTTGTGGCTCCTTGGTTTGGTTTGGTTTGGTTTCAATCCTGGAGAGCCTCCCAAAGGCTAAGCAAGCATTCTGCTGCTAAACTATATCCCCATCTCCACCCCTTGGGACAAGTCTCGATACGTTGTCCAGGTTGGTCTTGAACTTGGAGTCCTCCTGCCTCAGGCTTTTGATTACTAGGGATCCCAGGCCTGCCCTACCTGGCTTGATAATCCATTTGGTCTTCTTCATTTTAAAACAGGGTCTCATTATGTGGCCCGGGCCAGCCTCAAACTTACAACCCTCCTCCTCGGCTCCCCCTAAGAGCCAGGAAGGCTGATACCAGCTTTGTTAGTCGCCGGAAGAAGCGAGAATCGGAAGTCCGTGCTGGTGGCTGCTGGCGGGTGCTGCTGCTGCTGGCTCCTCCTACCTGGCCTACCGCGTTGAGAAGAGCCGTCAAAATAACAAATGGCATATTTTGAAGCCCGGGATTGCCCCATCAGCAAGACTCCCTGGGTGTGATAGACAGTTACCTCTAACGTTAGTGTCTTTCTCCACCTCCCACACTTCATTTTCTTTCTCTGCCACCCTCATCAATAAAGGTCTCTCCGGAAAGCGCTCCTTCCCCAGGAAGAATTTAGCAGTGTCCTATTACAACCCTCCTCGGAAGGAAGCGGGTGCTAACACCCATCAACGGTGACGGGGGGGGGGGGGCAATAGCAAATAGCTCCCATCTCATCTCAGCTGGGCTCCTAGTCAGATAAAGTGGCAAAAGGAGACAGTCCTTTTGGAGACCTCAGAATCTCATTTTCGTTCCCCGGGCAGAGAGGAGAGTGGCTTTATTGACAGAGACGACTGAAAATTGCTCAGAAATTGCCAATAGCCAGTCTGCGTCGAGGCAGAGAGACGGTCTGGCTGAGGCTTGCTCCCCGCTCCATCGGGCAGCCCTCCTCCCCATGCCTCCTGCTGCTGCTGCCCCAAGTCTATGGCATGTGCGGACTCGACTACAAGGAGCCTCCTGTCATCCCCTACTCCCAGCCTGATGCTGTTTCCTGGATCCCCGCGGCACAGCATCGTGCATTCGGGGAATCGCTGCCGGAAGCCGGACTCCTGGATCGACCCAAGGACCCAAGGTCACGCCTGTGCCTTGGGCTAGCCGGACAGGGGAAAACAGTTTGTTCCCTTCCCACTGGAGCGCCTGGTGGCATAACTGCACATCCAAGATAGGCCACTAGGTGTCCCTGTTGTTGCTGCCTTTTTTTTTTTTTTTTTTTTTTTTTTTTTTGCCTCTAGCTCACCATCCTACCGTGGCCACCTCGCCGGTACTGGAGGACTTATGGTAACCTTTTCAAATATCTTCTTCTTCTTCTTCTTCTTCTTCTTCTTCTTCTTCTTCTTCTTCTTCTTCTTCTTCTTCTTCTTCTTCTTCCTCTTCTTCCTCTTCCTCTTCCTCTTCTTCTTCTTCTTCCTCTTCCTCTTCTTCTCCTTCTCCTCCTCCTCCCTCCTCCTCCTCCTCCTCCTCCTCCTTCTCCTTCTTCTTCTTCTTTTTTAAATGCTAGTAATAGAGCCCAGGCCATTGTCCAGTGAGGCCTCTCTCACCCCAAATTCATGCCCTCCAGCCCAGATCCTAGAGACGGAAGAGGCAGAGCTTCTCATCAAGGAGCACTCTATACTAACTAAGTCCCACCTCAGCCTTGATGACACAGCCTCTCTGCTTATTATGATGGGGTTCCCCAGGGGAAAACTTTTTAAAAACGAATTAGCATGGAAACAGCTGGGCTGAAACTTAAGCCAGACCCACAACAGCTAGAGCAATTGTCTCTGCCCCGTCCCCCTCGTTTTTCCCTGGCCAAGGACGGCTGCTGCATATTCAGCTGCTTGACTTCGGACCTCGGGGGAAATGAGCCGAGGGGCTGGGGCGATGGCTGGGTCGTTAAGAACACTGGCTGCGGAGTATGCTTGCAGAGGACCCAGGTTTGGTCCCCAGCACCTACCTGGTGGCTCCCAACCATCTGTGGCTCATTTCCAGGGTATCAGACCCCCTCTTCTGGCCTCTACAGTCACCAGACATGTACATGCTATATAGACATACATGTGGGCAAAACACTCACACACATACATTTTTTTAAAGTAATTATTTTGAGAATAGGTTAAAGCCAGGCATGCCAGCTTGCCCCTGTCATCCCGTCACAAGGATCAAGGTCCAAGGTCAGGCTGGGCAACGTGGAGACGCTGTCTCAAGAAAAAAAAAAAACAAAAGGGAGTGTGGACAGGAAGAACTCAGGTAGAACTCACAACACTAGAGCTTGCATGGCTTTTATTTATTTGTACTTTTGTGCGTTTGCACATGTGTGTCACGTGCATGTGCCTCGTGTGCAAACATCAATGTAGACACACCTGCACCGCGGCGCAGGTACAGATGTCAAGGGCGCTGCCTTCCACGTCACGTGAGACGGGGCCTCTTGCTGGCCTGTGATGCTCTAGAGGCTCTCCTGTTTGCGCCTCGTGCTGGGAATCGCAGACACTCACCACACTGGGTGTCCAGCTTCTTGTGAGTCCTAGGGACTCAACCTCTGGTCCTTGCACTTGCACGGAAAACACTTTTAACCCACCGAGCCAGCTTCCTGACCCCAGCACCAGCGACTCCAGATGCCAGTACGCTGCATTGGTAACAGGGGTCGGCGGCTCTTACGGGGAATGAATGACGGACAGGTGGATAATTTACGATGGTTCTTGAGACCCGAACTATGATTATGAAGTATTTCTAGGTATATATTCAGTGTACAAAATCCAGAGCTAATGTTAATTTATTACTGACAGCTAGATATATGATAATATATCATGTCTTTTAATCGTACATTCCTTTTGACTCTCATCGAGCAAACTTTTCATTCATTAATAAAGTCAAGACTCGCCATTACTCTTCATGATGAAGTTCCATTTTGAACCCAGAGGACCTCCTGTAATTAAACTCTGTACCTCCGCAGACTAGACATCTGAAGCTTGGAGGAAGGATAAATGGAACTTCCGGCTTTACAAGAGAGGTGAAAAATGTCAGGAGGATGGAGCCCATCTGCTCAGCGCCCTGGAAGAGAAAGCAAAGTCAGAGGCGATTGCTGACCCAGACTGTGTCCTTCGCCCTCCGAGCCTACTGCTGCCTCTCCCTCCGAGCCCTCTGAGACGGGCTGACTTTGCACTCGTGTGTGTGTGTGTGTGTGTGTGTGTGTAAGAGTGCCTCATACACGCCAGGTGCTCTCAGAGGCCAAAGCGAGCGTCTGGAGTTACAGTGGTTGTGGTTGTGAACCGAACCTGGGTCCTTGAGAAGAGCAGCAAGAGCTCACAGCCGCGAGGCATCTCTCCAGGCCCAATCTTTCGCTGTTTTGAGACAATATAAAGACGTATTGCTACCAGCCAGATGCAGTCGCAAATGTCTGTGATCCCAGCAGTTGAGAAGCCAACGCAGGAAGATCTGCAGTTCCGGGCCCAACACTGGCTCAAAAAGAAAGAAAAAAAGAGATTCTTAATCACTGTATTTCTTACTCAGGCCACTTGCCTCATTCAATTCCCCGCCCTGTTCAAAAGCCTTACATGATGGATCCCTCCACAAGAAGGCTAATCTAATCTTATTTTTTGCCAAAGACAAGGTGTCCTTCAGAGGTATCACAGGTTGGAAGGCTTTTGTTCATTCATTGCTCCTGTGTGTATGCTTGTTCTCACATGCAGACACACACACATACACACACACACACCATGGCACACATGTAGAGGTGGAGGAACACGTTCAGGTACGGGTTCTAACCCCCTTCCACCGTGTTGCTCTGGGTCACCGGGCTTGGCAACAAGCATCTTTGGGCTGTCTCACCCATCCAGAGACAAGACTTCCTTCAGGGTCCAACTGCTTGGGTGTCTCATTCAGCGTCTGGCCAGTCACCAACTTGCAATGCACTACTAAACTGCCTTTTGTGTCCCGCTCCCTCCCCCCCCTTTTAATATGGGTTGGGTAAAGCTGTATCCGACTCCGTGGTCACTTTGGAAGACACAGACCCACGATACTTGCCGACGTGAGACCCTTAACCTTATCAACTAATTAAGGAGCCCGAAGTAGAATGATGAGGTTGTGTGGAGACATGGACTCCGCTATCAGGGTCAGCGCTCACCGGAGCCCATTGAACAAGTACGAGATAATTGAGTAAGCAAGTTTCCTATCTGCAACATGAAACCTTGCAACGGCTGGTTAATTAAATCATGATTTAAAAAAAAAAACTTCCTGTGGCAGGTGCAAGGTGCGGAGAGTTTATTGAGATGTCCGCAACGGAACGATGCCTGGGTCCTCACATTCCTTCGGCTTTAGAAAATAGTTACTGAAATCATTCCGTAGAGGTTTTGTTTTGTTTTATTTTGGTTTTTTTTGGGGGGGGAGGGGAGGAGGTTGTTGTTTGGTTTCTTTGTTTTGTTTTGTTTTAGGAAAAGTTATAATAAACCGGACAGCGGTGGTGCAACACCTTTAATCCCAACACTCAGAAGGCAGAGGCAGGAGGATTTCTATGAGTTCCAGGCCAGCCTGGTCTACAGCTAGGGCTGTGCAGAGAAACCTTGCCTTGAAGAAAACAAAAAGGAAAAAGGAAAAAAAAATGTTATATTAAGCAGGCCTTTAAGGTGGTATCAACGCAGGCCTTTAATATCAGCTACTCAGAAATAGAGACGGGAGAATAGAAGATTCCACTTCAGCCTGGGCTACAGAAGTAAGTTCAAGGCTAGCCTGGGCAATTCTGGGAGAACCTGTCTCAAAATAAAAAATGAAAGGGTGACCTGGTGACCTAGCTAAGTGGCAGAACACTTGGCTAGCAGGCACGGAGTCCTGGACTCCAGCCCCAGCACCACAAAAGTGTGTGTGTGTGTGTGTGTGTGTGTGTGTGTGTGCGCGCGCGCGTGTGTGTGTGTGTGTGTGTGTGTGTGTGTGTCCACATGCATGCATTTGTGTGTGTGTGGTGTGCTCAGATATTTACATGGGTACAAGTGGGTGTATATACATATCTGTACATACATGTACATATGTATGCATGTATATATGTGTGCTCGCGCGCACACACGCGCGCACACACACACACATGTAACTACTAAAGTTTTGTGTCCCAGGCTTTTTGAAGTTGTCTGCATTTTCAATCAGATTTTGCATTTCATGCCTTCGTACTAGTTTGGTTTCTATTCCTGTGGTAAAACACCAACCAGAGCCAACTTAGGGGAGAAAAAGGGGTTTACTTGGTTTATCGTATGTTACTAGGGAAACAAGGGCAGGAACTGAACCAGAGGCCATGGAGGGGAGCTGCTCACGGACTTGCTCCCTACTGAGCCTGCTGTCTTATAGAACCCAGGCCCGCCTGCCCTGGGACGACACTGCCCATAGGGAACTGGGCCCTGCCCGGTGAACCATCAATCGAGAAAAAGCCCCACAGACTTGCCCGCAGGCCAGTCTAAAGGAGACACTTTCTCCATTGCTATTTCCTCCTCCCAGATGACTCCAGATGTGTCAAACGGCCAAAACCAAAACTAATGAGCGGACCAAAAAAAAAAGAAGAAGAAGAAGAAGAAGAAGAAGAAGAAGAAGAAGAAGAAGAAGAAGAAGAAGAAGAAGCAGCAGCACAGCCACCCACTGGTGTTATTTCCGAATCTTTTTTATTATCTTTTCCACCTGGAGTGGTTTCTTCCCCCGCCTCTCCCAGCTGCTTCCACAAGCACATTGGTAACGGCGAGGCTGTGCTGCAGTAACAGACAGCTCCCAGGCCTCAGGGACTGGCAGCCCTCATACCCGTGTGTAGAGAAACAGCCGGGGCCCACTGTCACTCTGTGACGACACAGACTGACAGGGCGGCCGCCGTTTCAAAAGCTTGCCGGTCATCAAACCAAACGGAGGGCCCCAGGGGGGCGGCACCGGCCTCTAGAAGTTCCAGTGCAGGGGTGATGCACTCTGCACACAACTCATCAGTCACAGGCCACACCCACAGGTCACTAGGGTACATTTGATCCGAAGGCACCAAAGACAGACGAGGGGAAGCTAGTGGATACCAGGAATGCCCGGCTGGGACTTCAGACAAAGCCAAGTGTGCTCATTTTTGCCTTGCTCGGAAACCTTCTGTTTTCTCTGTTGGGGACGGGGATGAGTCTGGCGCGGGATTTGGAACCCAGGGCCTCGTGTACCCGAAGCAAGCTCCATTTCCGAGCCACAGCCCGTTTCTCTAACATGTTTTTGCTCTGTCCCTTGACCCAAGACATTTCTGATTTCTCTCGCATCAACTTTCAGGTTCATGGACGTTACAGTGGACGTCACTCATTGGCACTTACAAAACTTGGAGGGGTTGCTTTTTGTTTGTTTGATTGTTTGTTTATCAGAAATTCCAGGGAAGGGGGAAAGGTGGAAGGGAGGGAAGAGAAGAGTGAAAGAGAAAGACAGAGAAGTCTGTGAACCAACAGACAGAATTCTAACTTTGTTGGTTTTCCAACAACCAAAGGTTGGTGACCTGTTTTCAAAGATTTGCTTTTATTATTTCTTTAAAGATTTATTTAATTATTTATTTGTTATGTATACATACAGTGTTCAGTGTTCTGCCTGCATGTGTGCCTGCAGGCCAGAAGAGGGCGCCAGATCTCATGACAGACGGTTGTGAGCCACCATGTGGTTGCTGGGAATTGAACTCGGGACCCCCTGGAAGAGCAGCCGGCGCTCTTAACCTGCTGAGCCATCCCTCCAGCCCCACTTTTACTATTTTTAGCTATGTGTGGGGAGCAAGTGGGTGCAGGTTGCCCGTGGAATCTAGGGGTGCCAGATCCCCCCGGAGCTGGAGACACGGGGTACTGTATGCGGCTGGCGTGAGTGCTGAGAACCAACAGGCTGTCTGCATGAGCAGAAAGCAATCTTAACCACTCGACCATCTCTGTAGCCTCCGACTTACGGGCGTTGTCCAGAGATGCAACCAACAAGATGGCGCCATACCTAAACACTAGTACACATTATTATTATTATTATTATTATTATTATCATTATTATCATCATCATCATCATCATCATTATTATTATTATTATTATGGCGTGTATTCTGGGTCTTCCTCTCATTTGGTAACTGGTAACTCAAGAGCTAAAGTGCTTGAATTGGTTTCTAAATATACAAGGTAACATCCAAAAGATAGCTCACCTGTCAAGTCCTGGCTGTGCCATCTTTAGACGCTCCGCCCCCGCGCACGCCCCTCCCTGTGCACGCCCCCGTGCATGCCCCCCTCCCACTGCCACTGAGTGCAGACCCAAGCGCCTGGCCATGTGGTTCCTGCCATCCCCTAGGCGCCTGCTTCCTCCCTGCTTAGAAGATGGGCGACATCGCTTCACGCACTTTGCATTTCGTGGTATCAGCACCAGGGAGGGCTTGTCACAGGAGAGTATGCAACTGACGAAACAGACCCAAATGACAAGCCAAACGGCTCACTCAGAGTTCCTAGGGCCAAGTTCGCCAAGTCAGACCCTACAACCCCTGAAAATCTTTCAGGGGTCTCAAGACGGCTCTGCAGGTAACGGAACCTTCAGCCAAGGCTGCAACCTTGGGGGTTCAGTCCTTGGGACCTACACGGTAGAGGCAGAGAGCCAGGTCCGGAAAACTGTCCTCTGACCTCCGAACAAAGGCTATGGCACACTCACACAAAAATAACTGAATGCAGGTTATTTTTATTTTTATTATTTTAAACTACATTTTTTAAAAAAGAGAAAGTGTTTTCAAGCAAAGAGATTCCTTCCATCAGACACCCGAGTTGCACATGGTTAGGGCCACTGCATTTTCCGCACACCTACACTCCTGGCTACCCTGGAGGACTGAGGCAGGAGGATCACAGCTTCAGTATCTGCCTGGGCTATGTGAGGAATAAGAAGCCAGACTGAGCCACCTGTCTCAAAAGGGCTGGGGAAGGCAGCTCCGAGGAAAAGCCCTCACCTGGGATGTGCAATCCTCAGTACTTCCGGGCAGGATATATGGTTCAATGGGGTAAAGGTGCTTGCCGCCAAACCGGAAGGAAAAGAATAGACACACCCCACCCAGAAGCCGTCTTTCGGGCCAGCAAAAGCCTCCACAAACACAATAAAAAAGCAAGCAAATGACGACCTAAAAATATTGAGGTTTCTTTTGTGTGCGTGGACGGTTTGCCTATCTGCACTGTGTGTGTGTGTGCGTGTGTGTAGGCCAGAAGAGGGTAAGAGTTTCAGACCTGCAGACACACATAATTGTAATTTACCACCGTATGGGTGCTGGGGACCAAACCCAGGTCTCCTACAAGAAGAGCGAGCGCCCTCAACCACTGAGCCATCTCTCCAGCCCCCGGTGAACCCTTTGAAAAAGAATAGCCCCAGCAGATCCGCCCTCGCAAGGGTGGAAAGAAAGATGGGGCAGGTGAGGGGATGAAGTATGCCCCGGTAGGTCGAGGCCACAGGGCAGATTCATTGCGTTCTACACCCACAAGGCGAGCCTGGATGCCATGGCCCAGGGCCCAAGGCCGGGAGACGGAGGAGGCGTGGCTTTGCGGTGGCCCCGCCCCGACTGGGGCGGCACAGGCGCCTGGATGCCACGGAACGTGCCCAGGGCCTACGGCCTGGGGAGGGAGGAGGCGTGGCTCTGCCGTGGCCCCGCCCCGACTGGGGCCGGACAGGCGCCTGGATGCCAAGGAACGTGCCCAGGGCCTAAGGCCTGAGGGGCGTGGCTTCGCGGTGGTTTCCCCGCCCCGCCCCCGGCGCGGGCCCCGCCCCCCGCCGCGCGCCTCCAGGCTCACCTGACCGGGCCCGCTGCTCACGTGACCGGTCCCGGCGGCGGCGCCATCTTGGAGCGTCGGCCGAGGAGGGGGCCGAAGCGGGGCGGGGGGAGGGCAAAGAGAGAGGCGGGGGGCAAAAGAAAGACCGGAGTCGGGAGCGAGGCGGGGAGGACGACGAGGGCGAGGTCCCGGCCGGCCAGAGGAGGCTCGCGAAGCCGCATCCCGCCGCCCGACCGCAGGTACCCGGCCCGGGGCCGCCCGTCCGCTAGCAGAGCGCCGCGGGCCATGTGCGGCCTCCGCGGTGACGCCGCCGCCGCCTCCGGGGCCTCGAGTGCGGCGTCCTTTCCCCTGCCGGGGCCCCGAGTGCGGCGTCCTTTCCCCTCCGGGGCCTCGAGTGCGGCGTCCTTTCCCCTCCGGGGCCTCGAGTGCGGCGTCCTTTCCCTGCCGGCCCCGCTGCTCCCCAGTCCCCGCTGCTCCTCAGTCCCCGCTGCTCCCCAGTCCCCGCTGCTCCTCCTCAGTCCCCGCTGCTCCTCAGGCCCCGCTGCTCCCCAGTCCCCGCTGCTCCCCAGTCCCCGCTGCTCCCCAGTCCCCGCTGCTCCCCAGTCCCCGCTGCTCCCCAGTCCCCGCTGCTCCCCAGTCCCCGCTGCTCCTCAGTCCCCGCTGCTCCTCAGTCCCCGCTGCTCCCCAGTCCCCGCTGCTCCCCAGTCCCCGCTGCTCCCCAGTCCCCGCTGCTCCTCAGTCCCCGCTGCTCCTCAGTCCCCGCTGCTCCCCAGTCCCCGCCGCTCCTCAGTCCCCGCCGCTCCTCAGTCCCCGCTGCTCCTCCTCAGTCCCCGCTGCTCCTCAGTCCCCGCTGCTCCTCCTCAGTCCCCGCTGCTCCTCAGTCCCCGCTGCTCCTCCCCAGTCCCCGCTGCTCCCCAGTCCCCGCTGCTCCTCCCCAGTCCCCGCTGCTCCCCAGTCCCCGCTGCTCCCCAGTCCCCGCTGCTCCTCAGTCCCCGCTGCTCCTCAGTCCCCGCTGCTCCCCAGTCCCCGCTGCTACTCCCCAGTCCCCGCTGCTCCTCAGTCCCCGCTTCTCCTCCTCAGTCCCCTCCCCGCCGCTCCTCCTCAGTCCCCGCTGCTCCCCAGTCCCCGCTGCTCCTCCTCAGTCCCCGCTGCTCCTCCTCAGTCCCCGCTGCTGCTCCTCAGTCCCCGCTGCTCCTCAGTCCCTGCCGCTCCTCAGTCCCCGCCGCTCCTCAGTCCCCGCCGCTCCCCAGTTCCCGCTGCTCCTCCTCAGTCCCCGCTGCTCCCCAGTCCCCGCTGCTACTCCCCAGTCCCCGCTGCTCCTCCTCAGTCCCCGCTGCTCCTCCTCAGTCCCCGCTGCTCCTCCTCAGTCCCCGCTGCTCCTCCTCAGTCCCCGCTGCTCCTCAGTCCCCGCTGCTCCTCCTCAGTCCCCGCTGCTCCTCAGTCCCCGCTGCTCCTCCTCAGTCCCCGCTGCTGCTCCTCAGTCCCCGCCGCTCCTCAGTCCCCGCCGCTCCTCAGTCCCCGCTGCTCCTCAGTCCCCGCCGCTCCCCAGTTCCCGCTGCTCCTCCTCAGTCCCCGCTGCTCCCCAGTCCCCGCTGCTACTCCCCAGTCCCCGCTGCTCCTCCTCAGTCCCCGCTGCTCCTCCTCAGTCCCCGCTGCTCCTCCTCAGTCCCCGCTGCTCCTCCTCAGTCCCCGCTGCTCCTCCTCAGTCCCCTCTGCTCCTCAGTCCCCGCTGCTCCTCAGTCCCCGCTGCTCCTCAGTCCCCGCTGCTCCCCAGTCCCCGCTGCTCCTCCTCAGTCCCCGCTGCTACTCCCCAGTCCCCGCTGCTACTCCCCAGTCCCCGCTGCTCCTCAGTCCCCGCTGCTCCTCAGTCCCCGCTGCTCCCCAGTCCCCGCTGCTCCCCAGTCCCCGCTGCTCCTTCCCAGTCCCTGCTGCTCCTCAGTCCCCGCTGCTCCCCAGTTCCCGCTGCTCCTCCCCAGTCCCCGCTGCTCCTTCCCAGTTCCCGCTGCTCCTCCCCAGTCCCCGCTGCTCCTCAGTCCCCGCTGCTCCTCCTCAGTCCCCACTGCTACTCCCCAGTCCCCGCTGCTACTCCCCAGTCCCCGCTGCTCCCCAGTCCCCGCTGCTCCTCAGTCCCCGCTGCTCCTCAGTCCCCGCTACTCCCCAGTCCCCTGTTTGCAGTGCCGCGAGCCCCGGGTGATGAGTCCGGGCCCAGCAGCCTTTTGTAGGCACCTGCCGTGGGCTGCAGTCTGCCCTCAGTCACCGGCTTGTCACCCTTTCTGAGTTGGCGCCTCCCACCTGAGTTGGCGCCTCCCACTGTCCTGAAGTCTCCATTGGGTGTATGGATGGGCTCGCTGGAAGTTAACCTCGGAGAATGCCCCGGCAGTGTGGACTAGTTTTACCTAACTGTCCTCGTAGAAAGTTAACTTTCCACACCAGCCGGATGCACATCCTTTTAAAGCAGCCGTAGGAAAGGACCAGGGCAGGAAACTGCATTGGAAAATAAATAAATAAATACACACGCACACACATGTGTACACGCACACGCGGGTCAAGCCACACCGCCCTATCTTTTTCCTGCTGCCATTCTGCCCACTGTGTTTGGCTAATTAGGCTGTAATTTCGGTGAAAGTTAAAATAGCAATATGTCATTATTCCATACTGGTTAGGAGATTATGTCAGTAAAACCAGCAGTTTGCTGAGTAAATTACTTACAAGGTGGGTTGGGGGGAGGCTTAAAATACACAATTGTTAGATGTTTCCAGACTCATTCTGTCTTAGCTTCTGCAAAAATCCTCTACTTGTTAAGTAAATTATGTAAATTCGCCTCACGTAAATTACATTGCATCAACAGCCTTCCGAAATTTCTCTTTAATGTTAAGTACCGGAAGTTTCTTCCCCAGCTAAAATAACTTTACTGCGTTTCATCAAGAAAGAAAGGTTTGATTCTGTTTACTTTCCTCCTCGGCTAGGTTGTCAAGACCGATCCAGGAGCCAGCGTTAATCTCAGGAACCGATCTGCCCGCTACCAGCCATGTGACCCTGGGTAAGTCGCTTACGCCTCCCTGAGCTGCCGTACTTACAGACCTTGGCACGGCTGTGACCAGAGGCAAAGAATTCTGGGGATCGAGTGCAGGGAGATGTTTGTTGCTGTCTGCCACGCAGAGCTGTCTCTCGTCAGCGTTCCCCTTGAGGATGGAGCCTGCCCCGTGTTCCAGAGGAAGCGTGGTCGGAGAATGCCACTGGCCGCTCTCCAACCCGGGGCCACCTCTCATCCGTGAGCCTCAGGTGTGTCCCGTTGCACCCCGCCTCACGAGCAGGGGCTGGGTGCCAGGAACCAGAGGAACGGACGGTGCAGGAAACGGGTGAAGGCCCCACTCCGTGCCTGCGTCCACTGCTCGGGGACAGCGGTCTCCAGCCCCTGCCTGGCCTGCGCGTGTCATAAGTCACAGTGAAGCTGAAAGCACTGCTCGATGTCACTTAGGCCTGGGTCTTAGTTGTAGCCACTAAGTCAGAGTATCGTCTAGACCAGGACACCCATGTACCGACATATTTACACTTTGTTTTTCTCGTGGTAGCTATTATTACATTCAGCTTAGAAGATTTTGAACTAATTATGGTTGACATTAGGAAGGTCTAAAGTATGAGTTGCTTTTAGGTTAGTTTTAATAGTCAGTCTGTAATTCCATGCTCCAAAAGTTTGTCCAGCTTTACCCTCACATTAACTTCAGAACAATCTAAACTTGCTCCAGGTCACACAGCACTTCAGAGGAGGAGAGGAACCCTGGCTTCTTTTGGTCGAAACAAATATCAAGATACTTTAAATTTTTGAGACTCTGAAAGTGTGACATTCGTTGACCGTCACTTCTGTTTTTGGGAGCTTGGGGTTCTTGTTTGTTTGTTTGCCTAGTGGGTGAGAGTAATCCTTAGTCTGAAAGAGAATGTTGTGTACGTCATCTTGTTCTGTCTTCACATATGCCTGGAAAATTACAGCCCTTTCCCTGAGCCCACATGAATTGTAGTCATATTGCTATAACTAAAAGGAACTAATTAGGTACACAGATACACCAAATAATAAATTCTAAGAAAATAAAGACAACTGAACTTGCTCACTTTTCTTGGGAAAGACACTAATTACAAGCTGTTTCCTGTGGATTACTATTGTCAAGGACAGATCTGAGAGACTGTGGAACATTTCTGGTTTGGGAGGAGAGAGTGTTTACTTGGGCTGACTTGATCTTCTGATCTAATGGTGCAGCTAGTGATTCCAAACAAGAGGCCCCTCTTGACTGACGTCTCTAGACTTGGGGCCTAGTGACCCTTCCCGCTCAGCCACTCAGGGAGCGGGTTCTTCCTCATCCCCCAGCCTTCTTGTCGCTCTTACCCTGTTGTTAACAGCAGCCAACTCAAATCAGGATAGCTCAGGAAGGCGGTATTTACAAAGAGTATTAATCCACGCACTGGGCTCCTCCGTATGGGCAGCTCACAGGGATGGTGGACTTAGTGGGAGCAGCAGGAAAAGGCAGGGCAGTATCAAAGCCAGAAAGAGATTTGTGGCGAGCAGCCGTTTGGGAACCGCCTGTTAAGAAACAGACAGTAATCCACGGTGACATGAAGTAGGGAGCGAGGACGTGGACTGGCCCTCTGGTCCTCATGGCTCTCCTCCATTGGCAGTACCCAGCCAGAGGACCAGGGATCAGGTCGCGGGGCTACATCTGCAGTGCCCCCTTCCAGAAGCCTTGTGCCAGCTCTGTCCAGAGGAGCCTTCCCAGCCTCTGGGCACTGGGCCATTGTGTACTTAGCACTTAGTACTGTGGTTCCTTCCTCTCCGTGCCTGTCTCTCCCATCTGTGAGTGATTGTAAAATGTTCCTGTCCTACCTCATTGCTTCCCGCCTCACACCTGATTGTGGCTCTGCTTTTTTCCAGGGCGGGGCGGGGGGGGCATTTTTATTTCCAGCTGTTTCTGTTATAGACACTCTGCACAAGCAGAAAGAAGAGTATAGTGAACAGGTAGTTGTCCCCACCGTCCCACCCTCCTTCCATCCCCCCTGACCTTCTGTTTGCTTGTCTGTTTTGAGCTGTTTGCTGCAGTCCTTTGAGTCCAAGGGTGGTGTTCCGGGCTGTGAGTTGAGTCAGTGGGGCAGGGTGCTGAATCTTTCTTTTCATCTCCCTAGTCAAGGGAAGTTTAGCTCACTTGACATCTATAATGTATAAATACATATCTACACATTTACAGGTTCTGTGTGTATCTCACACATGGACTACATGAACGGTCTAGAGAAAAATTGTGGGCATTGAAGAGTTGCTTTTAATGACCTCCTCTCCCGTGTACTTTACTAGGGGCTGTATGTGACCTTTTATTTAACAGACTTTTCTTCTAATGAGTTTCTGCTTGCTTGTTGGTTTTGCCTGCAGACCTAAATGGTTTTTTCAGGTGTTTCTTGATGCGTTTTATGTTGTCATATCGGTTTGATAGCTGCCTTACTGTACTTATCCCCAAATGTATGCAGCCTCTAAAATGAGATACTTACATAAACGTTCTGGGGAAATTGGAGCATCTGCCGCAAGTGGCCATTAGCTCTTAATGCCTGAGCACACACAGCTTTGAAAGTGTGTGTTGTGTCAAATTCTTTTGTATTAGTCTTTTTCTTGAGCTTAGATGAACTCCTCCTCCTGATCTAAGGAACACACTGAACTATCCATGGGGAGCAATTTGCACTGCTCTGTCTTCCTCTTATTGGATCATTCAGCAGAAGAGAGAATCAGGAGTCACCTTTGGAACACTAGGTGTGAGGTCTGTGGAGCAAACTGTTCTCTGGGTTATCAGTTACCCTGTATGGCTGTTATAAAGGGGGACCTTGGCTTTACAGTAGTATAGAGCTGGATCAGGCCAAGAAACTGCCAATGTGTGTGGGCTTTGCTACTTTTAGTATGTAACTAATATACCTTTAATGTTGAACTGAATGACAACAAGAATCCTTCAGCTTGCCGGGCGGTAGTGGCACACACCTTTAATCCCAGCACTCGGGAGGCAGAGGCAGGCGGATCTCTGTGAGTTCGAGGCCGAGCTGGACTGACAGCCTCCAAAACAATACAGAGAAACCCTGTCTCATAAAAACCAAAAAAAAAAAAAAGAATCCTTCAGCTCTGGTCCCATAGGGAAATCAGCATGAGCATGAAGAGCACGGCTCCCTTTCGCCAAAATACACTGGATTCTTGTTTTGTCTGGACTGGTCTGTGCGTAACCCTTGCATGGGTGGAGGGCAGAGGTCCACGTCAGGTGTCTTCCTCTCTTGATTGCCATAGCGTCCGCCTACCCCTACCCTGCCAAGACAAGGTGTCTTCGTGTAACAGCTCAGTGCCAGCTTTTATGTGGGTGCTGGGAACTCAGACTCAGGCCGTCATGCTTGCAGCAAGCCCTTTACCCACTGAGCCCACTGAAAACGGGGCTCTTGAGACCGTGAGAGGTGTCTGAGAAGCCACAGACAGGGCTTTCTGTTTTTTCCTGAAGAACAACATTGTTCTCTATGAGTCTCTTCTGTAGCAGCTGCAACTTTGGTGTAGAAGTCTAGAAAGATTTGTTCTTCCTGAGGATAACAAAAAGACAAATGTTCCAAGGGGTGTTTGCAGAGCTGAGGTGGCTCTGTTATGGCTCTGGAATACACCCTCCATTAGATGGCTGTTCCAGGCTGGTTCTAGAAGAAAAGCGGGTGTTAGCTTTTAGGATGAGACATCTGCGTACATGGACCTAGACGAAGGAGGTCCATGCTGGAAAGAGTGGGACATGGAGAGGACAGAGGCTGAGATGGGCAGACCCGAGGTGCAGGTGCAGGTCGGGAACACTGGAGCCTGCCCGATGGGTTAGGTGTGACCCTGGGGGTGGGTGGAGCCTGCCTGATGGGTTAGGTGTGACCCTGGTGGGGAGGGGGGAGCCTGCCCGATGGGTTAGGTGTGACCCTGGGGTGGGTGGGGCCTGCCCGATGGGTTAGGTGTGACCCTGGGGTGGGTGGGGCCTGCCCGATGGGTTAGGTGTGACCCTGGGGTGGGTGGGGCCTGCCCGATGGGTTAGGTGTGATCAGGGCTGGGAGCTAAAGGACCTTATGCAGAATTCAGCCATGTGGGGAGAAGAGCAAAGTCTGTTACTGGAATTTAAGATTGGTGCCTAGTTTTTGGTCTATAGCTTGTGGTGCTGAAAATCGTTCTGGCATTTATTGAATGTTGTGAATGTACCTAAAATGTGGAAAAACAAAACTTATTGCTGGAAAAGAGCCTAAACTTAAAAATGTGATCCAAGTCAACAAAATAATCTCACTTTAAGTCAAAGGAAATGTCTGAAGTGAGAGGGCTGCCAGGAAGTATAAAGAATATTCAGAGGCCTAGAGGGAGTGTGATTGTGGAGTGTGCTGTGCTTGCAAAGTTCCCTGCCTTGCTGCATTATTCAAGCCTAATAACTCCTTACCCTCCTTCTTTCTGGAGCTGAACCAGAACTGGAGTGACGGCGTGTTCTCTCGCTGTCCCCTTCCCTGTTCAGGAAGGAGAAGCATGGCTGGGAATGAGGAACAGCTGACCACTGAGGTGACCTCTAGGAAGCCACAGCATAGTTTGTGGTTTATCTGGTGGACCATAAGAGAGGAGAGAGGAGGAAGTGGAGCCTTGTTCTCACTTGTTCATTTGCATAGTACTTCCCAAAATTCAGGGTTCTTTAGAGTGGGTTAAGATGAATGTATTCTCAGAAGTTCAAACATTCGACCGTAACTGTGATTCCATTATCTACAGTTAAAATTTGGCATAAGAAATAGCTTACCTAGAGTTGTATCATATCATGTTGGCTTCCACGCACTGATGGTTCCCAGTAGCTTGAGGTGACTCTGAAGGCCCTAAGGTTGGCCGTGTTTCTTCAAAGAATCGGTGTCTCTTTCATTCTAGAATTTCAGGAGAGAGGCAAAGCAGGGTGGGGATGCAGGATAAAGGTGTTAAAGTCATTCCCAAGGAGCTCAAGGTCTCCATCTGTCTCTAGGACAGTGGCTCTTAGCCTCTGGGTCATGACCCCTTTGGCAAACCTCTATCTCTGAAAATATTTGCAAAACGATTCATAACAGTAGCAAAATGACAGTTATGAAGTAGCAACAAAAAAAAGTATGGTTGTGGGTCACCAGAACCTGAGGAACTGTATTAAAAAGTCACAGCACTGGGAAGATGAGAACCACCGCTCTAGGAGATTGCATTTCAGAGTGGAATTCTGAACTGTTTAGGTCTGTATCGGGGACCTCCCAACTTAGAGGATGGTAGTGAGACACCAGAGTCGATGTTGGTTTTCTGCATTACGTGCATGTGATTATCCCATAACCCAAGCTCTCTGCTGTGCACTGTCCCTAGATATGGAAGAAAGAAGCAGCACTGCCGTGTTGGTGCCAGAGACTGGAGAGCAGGAGGCTGTGGTAACTGCTGCAGGAGTCCTCAGCCCTGCCTCACAGGGTGACGAACAAAGAAAAGCCAACGCGGATCCTTTGGTCCATGTCATCCAGAAGCTAAGCAAGATAGTGGGGCATGAAAAGTCACAAAAATGTCTTCTGATTGGGAAAAAGCGCCCGTGCCCAAGTGTGACGCCACCCTCTCTTGAAACCCCAGAGCACTGTGAGATTCCAACTAAGACAGCCGAGTCCCCTGCCGCTGAGATGTCACAAGCAAGTCCCACTCCAGACTCCGTTGCCTCGAATGATGGGAAGGCTATGTTCTACCAGTGTAGCCTGTGTAAGTTCCTGTCGTCATCCTTCTCTGTGTTGAAAGAGCACATCAGGCAGCATGGGCAGCAGGGTGACGTGATGCTCATGTGCTCGGAGTGCCACGTCACCTCCAGAAGCCAGCAGGAGCTCGAGGCTCACGTGGTGAGCGAGCACGAAAACGGCGCCAGCGGCCGCAGTCAGCCCGCCTTCTCCTGCCAGGGAGCCCCAGACAGAAAGAGCCAGGCCGGGGTCGATGTCCCAGTGAGCATGGGCACTTCACAGGCCCGGGCTGTCCAAAGCGCAGCCGGGGCGGAGCTGGGCAGGAGGAAGTGGTATGCCTACGAGCAGTACGGCATGTACCGCTGCCTGTTCTGTAGTTACACCTGCGGCCAGCAGCGGATGTTGAAGACGCACGCTTGGAAGCATGCGGGTGACGCTAACTGCTCCTATCCAGTCTTTGAGAATGAGAGTGAGCCCTTGGGCCTCCTGGCTTCTTCAGTGTCGGCCGCACCCGGTGGGGTCGACGCCGTTGTCATTGCTATAGGGGACAGCGAGCTGAGCATCCACAATGGGCCGTCTGTCCAAGTACAGATCTGCAGCCCTGAGCCACTGTCCTCCCCATCTCCCTTAGAGGAGAGCACCGTGGAGGGAGTCCACCTAAGCCAGTCAGTCACCCTGGACTCTAACGAGGAAGAAATGCTGGAGGTGATGTCTGATTCTGAGGAGACTCTGTTTGCTGATAGTTTGCTCTCGTCGGCACAGAAAATCATTAGCAGCAGCCCAAACAGAAAAGGTCACGTGAACGTCATTGTGGAGCGTTTGCCGAGTGCGGAAGAAACCCTCCCGCCAAAACATTTCCTCATGGATGCTGAGATGGAAGAGGGGAAGAGCCTGAGGCCTGCCGATGCGCAGACCGGCCGTGGAGGAGCAGGAGATACGTGCCACGCCGATAAATGTACTGTTGATATTGGGGGGCTGCTCATCGGCTGGAGCAGCGCAGACAAGAAAGACAGCGAGCCAAGTAAGGGCCTGGCTGCTGATGAGAACGCCCCACCAGGACGGAGAAGGACAAACTCGGAGTCTCTCAGGCTGCACTCCTTAGCTGCAGAAGCCCTTGTCACCATGCCCATAAGAGCTGCTGAACTAACGAGAGCAGGCCTTAGCCACTATGGGGACAGAAACCTTTTAGATCCAGACACTGGACAAAGGCAGGTCAGTGGTCCCTTGGCAGCATACTCAAAAAAACTCGTGTCTCCTCTTAAGAACTCTTCAGATGGAGTGGCGAGCTTTAACCAGAGCAGTTCCGCTGTGGTAGCCCTCCCCGAGGGGAGGCAGGAATTGTCAGATGGGCGAGTTAAGACCGGCATCAGCATGTCCCTTCTTACAGTAATAGAGAAACTGAGGGAAAGGACAGACCAGAACGCGTCAGATGACGACATTTTGAAAGAGTTGCAGGACAACGCCCAGTGTCAGCCCAACAGCGATGGCGGTTTGTTAGGGTCCAGCGTGGTGGAGTACATCCCAGATGCCGAGCGGCCCTACCGCTGCCGCCTGTGCCACTACTCGAGCGGCAACAGGGGCTACATCAAGCAGCACCTGCGTGTGCATCGGCAGAGGCAGCCTTACCAGTGCCCCATCTGCGAGCACATAGCGGACAACAGCAAAGACCTGCAGGGCCACATGATCAACCACTGCAAAGCCAGGGTTCACCAGTGTAAGCAGTGCAAAGAGTCTTTCCATTACAAGGTGAGCGGCCACGGTGGCGGATCCAGGGGCTCTGTAGATGTAGCCCAGCCACCTCCTTTTGTGTGTCAAGAAAACGAGTTCCAGGGGGAGTTGGGTGATGGCCCAGCGACACCCCCAACAAATGAACCTTGAAGATGGGTCTGAGAGCGAGGTCTGCACAGTCGCCATCCAGAAGCCGCCTCCTTTGTAGCTTCAGTGCCTGTTCTGTTGTGTGCGTTTTCATGTGTGTGTTTTAGGCACTGGTTTTCACTCCTAAAGGAATGTAGAGTGGGCTGATAGGCACACATTTTACACAACGCGCTATACCAGCTGCCACACGATCAGCAGAGGTGGTTTGTGTCACTGCAGAAGGAAGTGGGCAGTGAGGTTTACCGTAGAAGCAGAGCTCTTTATCTGCTGGGGATCCGCCCAGCACCCCACACCCGCCTGGCACGTGCTTGGCTGCAGGAGCACATCCCCAGCCCTTGGTCTTGTGAGTCTTGCTGAATGTCCCAGGCAGCACTCGAATTTGCAGTCTTTTTCAAGCTCGCTCTTGTGTGCTGAGATCACAGGGCTCTGCCCCCACATAAATGGACTCAGGTGGATATTCAAGTCAGATGTTTATCTACGTATGGAGCCAGAGGCCGGTATAAAATGTTACTACCCTTTGTAGAGGGTACCTGCAGTCGATCCTGGGGTCCTTGTTGACTTAGCTCTCCTTCAGGGTGCCAGGCATTGAAAACGGGTTTTTGTTGGCCAGCTGGGTATAAACTGTCTCACAGATTACCTACAGCTGGGGGTCCAGGTGGCGAATTTTTAAAAAAAGGATCAAAAGTTGCTTCTGTCTGAGGTTCATTGGAGCTTGGATTACACTCATGAAATTCCAAATAGCACATTTAGAGAGGTTACGGTAACAAGTTCTAGAAGTATCCAGAGTTGCTTTGCTGCCTCTGACCTCCTGGTTTGGGGTGGGACTGGTTTCTGTAGCATGTGTAGCTGGTGTCAGAAGGCAGAAGTTAACAAAGCCTGTGGTTGCTGGTGAAGTTTCTGTTTGCAGGCATGTCCAGTTATCCCCTTACCGCGTGCTCCTTAGTCTGTAGCCTGCCGACCATGTGGGAGGCACGCGCCACGCTGGGTGTGAACACCTCCCAAGACAGACCTGGAAGAGAGTGATGGGCTTGTGTACTGTTGGGAGACCTGAAAGAGAGTGATGGGCTTGTGTAGGAGATTGCAGTCACCTAGTGTCTGTCTTTTCTTTTCTTTTCTTTTTTTTTTTTTTTTTTTTTTTTTTTTTTTTGGTTTTTCGAGACAGGGTTTCTCTGTGGCTTTGGAGGCTGTCCTGGAACTCGCTCGGCAGACCAGGCTGGTCTCGAACTCACAGTGATCCGCCTGCCTCTGCCTCCCGAGTGCTGGGATTAAAGGCGTGCGCCACCAACGCCCGGCCGTGTCTGTCTTTTCTATAATTTCACATGCGCCAAATGGTTTCTAGTAGATGTGACTTCAAAATACTAGTTTTTAAAAAAACAAGTAGTAAATTCGTAAGGACTTGGCTGCAACTGAGCGAGGAGATGGGGTCCAGGTGATGATTTTTTAAAAAGAGGAGCAAAAGCTGCTTTAAAAAAGAAAAAAAAATCACTCTAGCACCCAATTGGTAATGGATTATAGGCCAAAGGTCCCAAAAGCAGTCACCAGTCAACCCCTTGCATAGCCTTCTGGTAACCCTGAAGGTGTATTTGCTGGAAGTTACGGGTTAATTTTCTTGCCTTTTGTTTTTCCTTCAGAGCCAACTGAGGAATCATGAGAGAGATCAGCACTGTCTGCCCAACACCTTGTCAGTAGCTTCAGACGAGCCAAGACTTTGCCGTGATGCAGCTGAGGGAAACTGTGCTCAGGAAGGTATCTGCACTTTGATTAGCGTCTATTAGCTGTGCAGGATGACGGTTTTCATTAGGACATCTTTGTAATGATGGTGTTCACACACACCGCGTCGTCCTCACGCGTGCCTTGGGGTACAGGCTGCACTGGCAGGCCTGGGAGGCGAGAACGGAGCAGTCTGTGTGCTCTCCTCTGGCTGTGCTGGGGACGCCATCCTGAGAACTGACTGGAGTAAGTTCCATCCAGTTCTGGGGCGGAGCCCTCCATCTGTAAGAACTTGGCTGCAGCCGCACAAGTAGATGGCACAAGTACAGACATTGGCAGGGGTCTGTAAGCCAGGCTACAGCAGAGACCCTTAGAAGGTAACGGATCAGCAAGCCAGAGAAGCTGGAGCCCGGAAAGCCAGCCTCCGCCCTCTCCAGCACCAAATGACCTGCGGAGGAGAGCTTTTGCAGATGGTAGCCCCCACCTCCAACTTTAACTGAGGCGCCCTGCTGTGATCTTACTCTTCTCCAAGGATGACTGCCAGACTTCATCTGCATTATTTAAACACACACAGGAACCTTTTATGTACTAGTTAGGTGCTAGTCAGCCGAGGATCTGGTAATAGGAATATTAGAATCAAAAGATTTAATTAGAGTTCCATGAAAAGGCGGATGCCACATCCCGAGAATGAGGGATAGAGTGTAATAAGCTGTGCTTCCTGGCATTGGTTCATGTAAATTGATATGCTTTAAGTGTCTCCAGTGTGGTACATAGTGTTTATGGGAAATAAACATATTGGGGTGACTTTCCTTTTTAGATTTCCTAAGAATTAAAGTTAGAACGACTGCAGAGTAAAATGTTTTACCATAATGTCTCATTAAATTATACCACAGAAAGCATAACTGATTCCAGAATGTTTCTGAAGGAACTGATTTTGACACCACCATAGTACCAGAATCCCCTTGTCAAACAGATGCCATCCCCGTAAAACCGTCCTGAACAAAAGGAGTTTACGACATGGCATCTGCTTCCGAGGTGGGTGGCTGGGCGAAAACAGTTTTGTTTCCTTTCTACAGAATAGCCCTAAATGCCTCTTTTTATTTTAATTCATTATGTTTCCATATCCCTTCTAAAGGAGACATTAAGCATTAGACATGATTGGCCCGTAAATCCTAATGAGGGAATAAAGCACACGTGACTCGGTAGCGCCACCTGCAGTTGGCTCCAGTGCTGGACCGGTTTCCAGCAGCATCCAAGAGAGCAAGGGCTTAAGACCACCCAGCGGTCTTAGCAGGTTCAGTGAAGACTTCAACGTGGCCGCTGCAGTGTCATTGTTCGCACCTTACCCTGCTCTGCAGTCTTTAATCTGTGATTTATTCACCTGCTCCTGGGATTAGAAATGCATAGGTTTAAAATTGTGTACCACGATCATCTCGTGGTTTGCTGTGGTTTGGGCAGTTTTGTTTTTCAATAGTTATTTATTTTCGTGGTGCTGAGCAAGCACGCTACAGCCAGCCTTCACCCCAGGTCTTACTACCTAGCGGCATTTGCTGTTCTGTTATAGTAGTGTAGCAGGCACAGCTGATGTCTTCCGTCCTGGATGGGTACATGATTAATTCCTCATGTCACGATTCATGCTTTGTTACAGTTGTCTTAGCTATTCTGTAAGCTCACGGGAGGAAGGTGCGCGACTGCAACCCCAGTCTTGTTGTATAGTGCAGACTCCGTTCAGCATGCTTTCTGCACAAAGACCTGATGTCACACAAAAGGCACCGCACGCCTGTCTTGAGCAGGCTGTCTTGCCAGGTGCTGGGAGTGGGGTGAATGGCATCGGGACCCTTGAGGGAGTCAGAACTTCGCCAGTGGGTATGACGTCAGCAAATGGCCTGGCCTGGCACCTCCCGAATTCCAGACAGTGTCTCTTTTCTTAGCGACCTGTGTCTTGTGCAGCCCTGGATTTTGATGCCAACACTGTAGATGTGCCTGGACATGTGCAGAAAGAGTACAAGTCTTCAAGCCATTTGGTGAGGTCTACCGCTTCCCACCCTGTAGAAAGATAACTGGGGCCTCTAGAGGTGACGTGATTTGCTCGTTCTCAGACCAGTGGCAGAGCAGAAATCAGACCAAGTTGTTAAACTTTAAATCCAGTCTTGATTCTGTTGGAAACATTTGCCTGAGGTAGCACGGGCTCTCAGTCTGTGCTGTATTAGGGTTTTCCATCTGTCAGTTTTATTAGTTGTCATTGATCTGTAATATTTTTCAGAAAAACCATTATCCAATATTTCACACTTCATTTTTTTCAGGTCTTTTTTTAATAAAAACCTATATTTGGAACAATGCCATTTATAATCAAGTCCAAGTTTTTAACCTACCAATTAAGAGCAATACTTAGATTGTAATTATGATTAGTGTATTAATGTTACAGATTTATACCAGAAAATTGGGACATTTTGTTCTGCCTGGCAGTAGTTATTAGCCAAAGAAAATCTCAATTTTAGAAAGCTTAAATTTAACTTAAGAGTTTTCTTTGTCGAAATTACAGTGTGGGTTTTCTTTTCTTCTGTAGTTTTACTTTGACACTGTGTGCGTTCCTTCCCAGCTAGGCTTGTTTCCTACCAAAAGCACACATTCTTCCTTCTCTGCCTGATCCCTGAGCTTCCATGCTTACCCGTTGTCTGAAAATAACATACTTAGAGTCAGGATGCCCTGGGCACCAGTAAACAAAGCAAGCCGAGCTTATGATGGAGTCGGTCCTACATCTTATGTCGCCCTGTGTGAGCTGCTCGTTTGGAGGATGAGCTAGTCCTAGGGCCTGTCTCCACTGAATCCAGGTTCGCCATACGTGAGGGAGCTGTGTACTTACAGCCTTTGTCCCAAAGCCGTCAGCCTCCTAGGTGTGACCTTGAAGGCTGACATTTGACAATAAATCCAGCAAACACCCAGGGTAAAAACTTGAGACTTTTGTAAGTAGCTCACTGTGTATGTATGACTTACGGCCTCACTGTGTTTTCACTTCATGTGGATCTCTGTTTTGCTGCTAGTATATATGTGTACTACCTGAACACGGTGCCCAGAGAGACCAGAAGAAGATCCCCTAGACCTCAGGTCACAGATGAGTTACAGACAGTAGAGAGAGCCACCATGCGGGTGCTTGGAACTAGGTCTGGTTCCCCTGCAAAACCAGCCTGTGCTTTTAACCACTGAGCTGTCTCTCCAGCCTCTTGCCACACTTTATAATACTTTGTTATTTTAGCCTGTTGGCAAATAAGTGTTTCTTTAAGACACAGTGCCCTTTGTTGGTTAGTGACACCTTTTGGATTCACACTGTATCTTGGTTAATTTAACTGCTAGACAGTCAGCATAGCAGCTGGGAGCGAGCTCATTCTGCTGTAGAACTTGGAAGGTGGTTCCGTGTTCACAGGTCAGAGGGTGTTCACCTCATGCCTGCTGATGGTCTGGGTGCAGGATAGTCTAGGGAGGTAACTGCTTAACACGTGTTAATTATACTGTGGGAGAGCCTCAATTCAAATGCTGGTACGTTGTATTTTAATTACTTCTTCATGCTGGGGTGTAAGTGCTGCCATGCGAGTCTTACCAAATCATGCTTCTAAATCTCTCTCCTTCAAGGGAACAAGTCTTCAATCCAGAAGCAGTATAGGTGCGATGTGTGTGATTACACAAGTACAACATATGTTGGTGTCAGAAACCACAGGCGAATCCATAACTCAGATAAGCCATACAGGTAAGTGTGACGACTCTACAGTTCTAATGCTTGTTTTCAAATGTATGGGACTTATTTAAACACATGTTAAAAACTTAGAAATGGGGCCAGGCAGTGGTGGTGCACGCCTTTAATTGCAACATTCAGAAGGCAGAGACAGGTGGATCTCTGTGAGTTTGAGACCCGTCTGTTCTATAGAGCAAGTTCCAGGATGAGAAACTCTCGAAAACCAGACAAACAGAAATCAAAAACTTAGAAATGGTTACATACTGGTTTCTTTTCTTGTCTTTTTTCAGTTTTACGAGACAGGGTTTCTCTGTATTGTTTTGGAGAGCCCAGCCTCGAACTCACAGAGATCCGCCTGCCTCTGTCTCCCAAGTGAATGCTGGATTAAAGGTGTGCACCACTGCCGGCCGGCTGGCTACATACTGGCTTCTTAATCTTTTAATTTGTTAAGAAATGTTAATCGTGAGTCTTAGGTATTCTGGGACAGTTGGAATATTGGAAGATGTCCATGTCCACCAATTTTATGCTCTCATTTCACTTGAGTATAAATTATAGCAGTGTTCAGTGCTTTAGAGCCCGGTACCATGATGTAAGGTCAGATTCCTGCATATCCTAGCAAAAAGTCATAAATGTCCCTGGGGAAAGTTTTGTTTCTGAATATTAAGCTACTGTGGTTTGAGCCATGTCATTTGATAAGTTTTGTCACAAAAGCTAGTTTTGTCTAATGTGACCACTGTTTAGTAAACTTTACTTCATGAAGGTAAAACGCTACGTACCGTAAAGGCGAGAGCATTTTCAGAGTCTGTCCACCCATCACAGCAGGCACTGTCGAACGGCTGGGAGCGTGAATGCTGATGAGTCTGAACAGGTTGCTCCAGTGATGTAAATCACGCCTTTAGCTCTGCCTACTCATGACCCCTTTTCACTTGAGAAACTGTAGGTACATAAAATAGGTATGCAAGTCACTTCATGTCAAACGTTACTCGGTATTTATATACTTTACCATTTATTAGAGACAGAAGCAGTGTTAATGAGAGATGTGTACGTATTTTACATAAATATTACACCTTGGTTGAGCAATTGAAGCTGAAGGACATAGATCATCTTCAGCATTTTTCAGAGTTGATCAATATTTTGATTTTATAATCATCAAAGCTGAGAGTATCACTGCACATAAATACCTAATACAAAGTAGCAGAATTGTGTTTGGGGTCATTTTAGGAATTTTTTTTTTTTTAATTCAAGTCAGTATTTCAAGCAGCAATTTTTAAAGTCAAACTTTCTAATGAAACACAATCTAAAGAAATGCGGATTTGATAACTATACAGGAGCTGGGAATGTCACTCTGTTTATGGAGTGCTTGCCTTGCATGCACGAGCAGCGGCACTTGGAAGTTAGAGGCAAGTGGATCAGAAGTTGAGGGCCATCCTCAGCTCCATGTGGAGTTTGAAGCCAGCATGTGCTATATGAAACTGTGTCTCAAAAAGAAAATTAAGTCTGTTTTTCTGTATTTAAACTGTGTACACTTATAAAAGCAGAAAGATATGCAGGCACAGTGAAAAAAAAAAAACCCCTGCGATTGAGAAGGTCACACAGTCTGGGATCTCAGCTGAGGTGTATCAGGCAGCACCCACCGGCACTTCCTGACATCACAGGCTGCTCGGGCAGGGTGTGCATGCCCGTGTTCAGAGCTCAGACTGCATACAGTGAAGCTACCCGATTCAGCACAGGTGAGTGCTGCCAGAAACAGCTCAGAGTCCTCGCACGTTTGAATTTACATTTGTTTATTGTGTGTCCAGAAACCCTTTACTGCCGCTATGTTGTTCAGTGGCCCAGCTTAAGAGGCTGGGAGCAAATGAAAACTGGACGCACTGTTACCTCATACGGCGTGGCTCTTGGGCTTGGGGGGTTGGCTCGGTGATTAACACTGGCTGCTCTTCCAGAGGACCTAAGTTCAGTTCCCAGCGCTTACAGGGCGGCTCGCAACCACCTAACCTTCAGTGACGCAAGTTCTAAGAGATCCAAAGCCTCCTTTAACAGCATGTGCACGTGGTGAACGATAGACCTACAGACAAAACACCCACATACCTTAAATCATTTTAATGTGGTTCTAACATGTGATGTGACTGTGTGTGTGCACGCGTGCGTGTGTGTGTGCGTGCGCGTGCATGAGTGCGTGCATGCGTTGCTAGCTTTGGGCCTGCAAGCCTCTCCTGGAGTTGGAGTTCTGGAAGACACTCAGCTTTGCCTTAAACCTCTGTTTTCAAGGTAAAGGATTTTTCACAAAACATGACGGCCACATACTATTGGTAGTCACTCAGTGCTGTACGTTGTACGTGAGGAGTGGTAGCTGGGGTGAACGCGTGGTTACACAGTGGTCATGTGAGGAAACACCTAGGAGAACCTGGTAGAGACAGGCCCGGCTTTCCCGTTAGTGCCTTTATTCTTGAATATATTAGTAGTTGTGCCAAACTCAGGAGATTTGGGCAGGAAATGTCTCAGGCAGGCCTAGAATTAAATCATACATTCACTCATTGAGAAATAATGTCACAAATATTATGTCCCAAGTGTTTTGTGAGGTTCATGGGCTGTATTTCTAACAGAAAAGGCATCTTTACCATCACAGGGCTTGTGTCTCAGACATGGGTTCCAAGCCCTGATCAACAGGACTGGGCAAGACGTAAACTCACTGAGGAACAGCATAATGGAACAAGAATTATACTGTACATCCTAGCCAAAATGGAAACACTCAGAAAATACTGTACAGAAGTACCCTCAGTGTGCATATAAGGTGTATATGAAACATAGGTGGGTTTGCTTAGATTTGAGTCTCGTTATAAAATGCCGAGTCTGCGCCACTTTTGCTCTGACTCTGTAGAGGAGGCTTCGCAAGTACAAGAGGCTCGCAGTTGTCTGCTGGCATTGTGAGGGTGTGGTGTGTTCTTAAAATAGTCACAGATTTTCAGGGCAGCCACTGCTGTCCAGGTCTGGCTCTCTGGCCTTGCCACAGTCCTTCGAACCATCAGGTCTTTGTTTGAGTCTTGCCCTGTCCTGCCGCGGGGTTATGCACTCAGATGCTCTGCCAGGACTTTGTCTCCTGGGTATAGGTCTGCGACTGACTCGCTGAGCTTCTCCTGGGTATAGGTCTGCGACTGACTCGCTGAGCTTCTCCTGGGTATAGGTCTGCGACTGACTCGCTGAGCTTGGCGTCTGGCTTTCCCCTGAGGACCACAGTAGTCCTTTCTGGTTACTTCAGAACCAGTCTGGTTCCCTCTTATTGCCTGGTAAACTTAGGGAGGGTGTTTGGACTTGTCCTCACAGTCACCTTGTGCCCATGTCTGCTGGTTTCCTTGTTTCCTCTCTTTAGAGCAGGCGTGCCTTTTTGTACAGATAGCTAGTCTTTGTACACATGCACAGGGGGCTCCTCGTGTTTGAGCAGCCTCCGGTGTTACGGCTTTTCTGCAGTAACGACATCTTTGCTTGCCTTTTGGTTTTCTCTGTTGTGATTCCAGTCAGTCCCAGCCTGTCTGTGTGATCTGGCCGGTACCCTGTCGTGTGAGCACTCTGCCTGTGCCAGTGTTAGTCCTGGTCTTCAGTCTGACCCCTCCAATTTAATAGAGTTTGGTCTAAATTCAGAGCTCCCTGCCTGACATATCGTAGATGCTCAGTAAGGGCTGGCTTGTGGTTTCTGATGTGCCTCAGATTTGCTCATTTATAAAGTGGCTCTGGTTTGCTGTACCATATTCATTGAAAAATAAACGCATGCTAGTATTACTACGCCTTTTAAAATCTGGCCAAATGTATATGCTAAATTGTATACTACCTATCAAAAACATTGCTAGATTTTCCCATAAACATTAGTTTGCTCAAATGGGAACCTTACAAGATCAAAACACTAAGTTTTATTGTTAGGCTCTCCTTCCTTCCCCCCACTCCCTTCTTTGTTTCTTTGTGATGTGTGGGTGTTTGCCTACATGTGTGTCTGTGTAGTATCTGCATGCAGCGCCCATGGAGACCAACCAGAACAATTAGTCACATTCCCTGGGGCTGGATTAGAGAAGGCTTGATCTACCACCTGGGTGTTGTGACTCGAACTCGGGTCCTGTGGGAGAGCAACCAGTGCTTTTAGCTGTGGTCGTCTCTCTAGCTCCTTTGGTTAAGGTTTTTATCTCTCTGTCCCCCTCCCTTCTTCCTCGCTCCCCCTCCTTCCTCCTCTCTCTTCTAAATATCTTAAGTCGTCTTGTTGACTGACATAGCATACATCCTGGGAGTTACATAAATCCAAATTCACACTTGATAAATAATCATAAATTCTTCTCCAGCTTTTGGCAACACACCCTTCTTGGGCTTGCTGTCATTAAGTTCCTTCACCCCTTTCTCACAAGCGCCATCTTGACTGGTAGCATCATAAATTAGTTTTGTGTGTTTTGAACTGAATAGAAATAGAGCCATATGGTGCATGGACTTTTATGCCTTTTTACTCATTGCTGTGTGTGTGAATGCTAGTAAATTTCGTTTCCATATTACATTCTATTCTAAGACCATAATACGTATCTGCTGGTATAGCTCAGAGGCAGGGGGTTTGCCTATGTGCACAAAACCCTGAGATTGATCCCTGGAGCTACCAAACCAGTTACTTACTCATTCGTTCTGTTATTGATAGACACTTGGATTTCCACCAGATTTTCTTCCTTGTTAGCAGTAATTCCATCTTGAACATTCCTTGTTTGGAGTGTACACAGGAAACAAGCTGGTTTCTGGTCAGTTGACACACAGGAGTAGGGTTTCTGGAGTGGTAATGTGAGCTCCTGCCTGCCTTTGGTACTGTGTGTTGTCATCGGGTGTGGCGGGTGCCCTGGTCCCTGGTGTAGCTGCTGCCCACTGCTGTGATGGTTTGTTTGCCTGTCTTCGGTGGTGTGTAGGAGTTCGTCTTTATTCTGTACAGAAGTCCTTTGTGCCAAGCAGTGATGGCTCACACTTTTACCCCAGCACTCAAGAGGCAGGTGCAGGCAGAT